CATGCATTTAAGCTAAAATGCTAATGTTATCTTACCTTGCACTGGCTGTAGAGACGTGGGTGATCGTCACACAGATGTGCCATTAGATTCGAAGTGTTACCTTTTGCAGACACTTGTTTCCTGCACGTTCTGCAAACGGGATAGCCGTCTTCTATTAACTGTCCCTCAGCATTTTTCAGAAATCCCAAATATGCCCATACTTCCGATTTAGTCTTCTTTGAGGGCTGATGGATGTCCTGGGCGCTGCCGTCTCCTCCTTCGGCCATTATTTCAGCTTCAAAGTTTTGGTGCCGTTGCAAATTAAAAAGTGCGTGTGCGCGCCGCGGGAACTTCAGCTGAAGCGACGGTGGCTGGTAAGGGTCATCGCGCCGAAACCGCGGCCACGGTAAACCCACCGAGATAATATAGTTTTTTAAAAACTGGACGGTTATTTTTATTGTCAACTTTTTTACCGGGGTTTACCGCTATACCGGTTACCGTGACAACCCTACAACACACTTGCTCCTTCTGCAACACACTTGCTCCTTCTGCATCACACTTGCTCCTTCTGCATCACACTTGCTCCTTCTGCATCACACTTGCTCCTTCTGCATCACACTTGCTTCTTCTGCAACACAATTGCTCCTTCTGCAACACACTTGCTCCTTCTGCAACACACTTGCTCCTTCTGCATCACACTTGCTCCTTCTGCATCACACTTGCTCCTTCTGCAACACACTTGCTCCTTCTGCATCACACTTGCTCCTTCTGCATCACACTTGCTTCTTCTGCAACACAATTGCTCCTTCTGCAACACAATTGCTCCTTCTGCAACACACTTGCTCCTTCTGCAACACACTTGCTCCTTCTGCATCACACTTGCTCCTTCTGCATCACACTTGCTCCTCCTGCAACACACTTGCTCCTCCTGCATCACACTTGCTCCTTCTGCATCACACTTGCTCCTCCTGCAACACACTTGCTCCTTCTGCAACACACTTGCTCCTTCTGCAACACACTTGCTCCTTCTGCAACACACTTGCTCCTTCTGCAACACACTTGCTCCTCCTGCAACACACTTGCTCCTCCTGCAACACACTTGCTCCTTCTGCAACACACTTGCTCCTTCTGCAACACAATTGCTCCTTCTGCATCACACTTGCTCCTTCTGCATCACACTTGCTCCTTCTGCAACACACTTGCTCCTTCTGCATCACACTTGCTTCTTCTGCAACACACTTGCTCCTTCTGCAACACACTTGCTCCTTCTGCAACACACTTGCTCCTCCTGCAACACACTTGCTCCTTCTGCAACACACTTGCTCCTTCTGCATCACACTTGCTCCTTCTGCAACACACTTGCTCCTTCTGCAACACACTTGCTCCTTCTGCAACACACTTGCTCCTTCTGCAACACACTTGCTCCTTCTGCAACACACTTGCTCCTTCTGCAACACACTTGCTCCTTCTGCAACACACTTGCTCCTTCTGCAACACACTTGCTCCTTCTGCATCACACTTGCTCCTTCTGCATCACACTTGCTCCTCCTGCAACACACTTGCTCCTTCTGCATCACACTTGCTCCTTCTGCAACACACTTGCTCCTTCTGCAACACACTTGCTCCTTCTGCAACACACTTGCTCCTTCTGCAACACACTTGCTCCTTCTGCAACACACTTGCTCCTTCTGCAACACACTTGCTCCTTCTGCAACACACTTGCTCCTTCTGCATCACACTTGCTCCTTCTGCATCACACTTGCTCCTTCTGCAACACACTTGCTCCTTCTGCAACACACTTGCTCCTTCTGCAACGCACTTGCTCCTTCTGCAACGCACTTGCTCCTTCTGCAACACACTTGCTCCTTCTGCAACACACTTGCTCCTTCTGCAACACACTTGCTCCTCCTGCAACACACTTGCTCCTCCTGCATCACACTTGCTCCTCCTGCATCACACTTGCTCCTTCTGCATCACACTTGCTCCTTCTGCAACACACTTGCTCCTTCTGCAACACACTTGCTCCTTCTGCAACACACTTGCTCCTTCTGCAACACACTTGCTCCTTCTGCATCACACTTGCTCCTTCTGCATCACACTTGCTCCTCCTGCAACACACTTGCTCCTTCTGCATCACACTTGCTCCTTCTGCAACACACTTGCTCCTTCTGCAACACACTTGCTCCTCCTGCAACACACTTGCTCCTCCTGCAACACACTTGCTCCTTCTGCAACACACTTGCTCCTTCTGCAACACAATTGCTCCTTCTGCATCACACTTGCTCCTTCTGCATCACACTTGCTCCTTCTGCAACACACTTGCTCCTTCTGCATCACACTTGCTCCTTCTGCATCACACTTGCTTCTTCTGCAACACACTTGCTCCTTCTGCAACACACTTGCTCCTTCTGCAACACACTTGCTCCTCCTGCAACACACTTGCTCCTTCTGCAACACACTTGCTCCTTCTGCATCACACTTGCTCCTTCTGCAACACACTTGCTCCTTCTGCAACACACTTGCTCCTTCTGCAACACACTTGCTCCTTCTGCAACACACTTGCTCCTTCTGCAACACACTTGCTCCTTCTGCAACACACTTGCTCCTTCTGCAACACACTTGCTCCTTCTGCAACACACTTGCTCCTTCTGCATCACACTTGCTCCTTCTGCAACACACTTGCTCCTTCTGCAACACACTTGCTCCTTCTGCAACACACTTGCTCCTCCTGCCACACACTTGCTCCTCCTGCATCACACTTGCTCCTCCTGCATCACACTTGCTCCTTCTGCATCACACTTGCTCCTTCTGCAACACACTTGCTCCTTCTGCAACACACTTGCTCCTTCTGCAACACACTTGCTCCTTCTGCATCACACTTGCTCCTTCTGCATCACACTTGCTCCTCCTGCAACACACTTGCTCCTTCTGCATCACACTTGCTCCTTCTGCAACACACTTGCTCCTTCTGCATCACACTTGCTCCTTCTGCAACACACTTGCTCCTGCACACTACACACTATTTCATGCATAAGACACTTTGTTCAAGAATGAAATCTCATGGTACCATTGGGACAACACATCTCTTCCAAATACAAAACACATTGGGTGATTGAAAACACCTAGACACACACCTGAAAACATTCACTTGACTGGAGGTCAAAGGAGTTTGTTTCAGAAAGGCTTCTTTCCTGATTTGGTCGAATCAGGGGTCAGCTGGAAACTGAATTAATCAAGAAGTAAATCCTGTTTTATTAACCTGCAATGTTATGAGATCTGGTCAAGTTTTGCAAATCAGAATTTGACACGTTTCTGACCAATCAAGCTTAGGGCCTCCAAAAGCCTAGCAGTGGCCCTGGGATCATGTTAGCGGTAGTCGTACTTAAACTCATTTTTTGTGTCATTTCTCATCATGACCATAACAAATGTTAATCTGCTTTTATGGTGGAACAGGGCCGGTGCTGAAGTTGGAAGTGAACCTCTCTCTGTTACAGTTGCTTCTGCTGAATGAAACTTCTCAAACCGCGGCTCATCAGTGGCTCAAGAGGCTGGCTATCATGAGTTCAGCTCAGATTAAAACACTGTTTTTCGGTGAGGTGCCGCTTCAATGCAAAGATCTAACTCAGTCTGCTGTGGTGGTCTGGTAATTTAATTTGAATGATTTTTTTCTTTGCTGAATTTTCTTATTAATTGATGTGTTTGTTTTAATGTTTTGTATGTTTGTTTTCTTACACTGTACATGTACTATTGTAAATGTGTTTTAATGATGCGGACCCCAGGAAGAACAGTCTTCACTATGGTGAAGACTAATGGGGATCCTTAAATAAACCAATAAACACCGTATACACATACTTGCATCTTTCCTTTTGCTGACAGGATATCAAAATCCAAGTTCATTTTAAGTTTGCCTCCATGTTGCTTCCTCCTTCCTCAAAGTTTATCTCCATCTTATCCCAGTTTGATCAGCAGCTAGTTTAAGACCATGTACTGATAATGAAATGGTGATGAAACCGTGTGTCAGAACAGAGCTTTACGTGTGCTGAGACGACCTTGAAAAGTGCGTCCTGGGGCACTCAATTTATTACAAATTGCTAAAATGTAAGAGGAGAACGAAGGAGAGGAGCAAAGTGAATGGTGATGAAGGACCCGGCGAGTTGTCCTGAGTGCAGGACGTCCTGTTCTCAGTGGTGGGACATGAGGCTGCTCCATGATGCCGCGGCTGTTGCAGAATGAAGACGATTCGGACACGTGGTGTTTGATCACCACGGGTGCTGTTATCACCTCACACTGTCATGTTTCTGTAAACTGGAACATCAGGGACAAACAGTCTTGCTGTCTCTTATTTTCACTATTAGGAGCGTTTGATGAAATTCAGGACTAGGCTCTGATGGCACCCCCCACTGACAACCATGAGCAGCTCTACGTTCCTGTGCACGTACATCTCTGAGGACCTCTCCTCATCTGACAACACCACACCACTGACCAAAGAGCCCAAACCCGTCCCACATCCCATCACGCTCTCGTGCCGAGCCTCATGTCTGTGCAGACTGAGGTGGTGCGGCGTGTTCCCAGTAGCGCCGTCTGCTACAAAAGGTTCTTCCTGGAGCAGAGAAACGTTGTAGGACATGTGAAGGTCGGTGGTTTTTGAAATTCTGTGAGCTTCCTGACCTCCCATCCAAATCCACACCACCACGTTTCTAAGTGGCTTATCTCTGTAATCAGTTTCCCGTATCTTTGCAGGGAGACCAACACAGGCTGTAATTAAATATCAAAAAGGCTTCCAAAGTTAATGAGATACTTTAGTTTGAGGAATGCAGCTGAACATCAGACAGGCTACGTCTCCCAGATTAGACCAACACGTAGAGAACAGGGTGTACCAGGGTATGTCCAAGCCATGTTTACAGATGGAAAGATGCACTTTGAAGGTCACAAATATTTTCTACTGAAATCCTGAATAAAACTGATAAAATCATTTGAAATGAGGCAAGGTCAAAGCACAGCGCCTTGGCTGTACTGCTTACCTGTGGCTTGTCCTCCATCACACATCGGAGCTTCTCCACCACGTCGGTGCGGCGCTGTCGGTGCAGCGCGTTGATCACCTTGGCTAGGTTGGCGTCGGAGTCTCGGATGGTCCAATGCTGCAGAGCGGCGTACGCCCGCTCGTGATCTGATGAGTACCCATTTGCAAAGGCGGCCACCTCCCGCTCTGTGGCGTTAGCCAGAGACTGATAAATGTCAATCCACTGAGCTCCAACCTGGGCTGCCACCAGCTTCAGGATATCCACCCCTAAGCAAAGAAACACCAAAAGGCAGATATAAGATTGAGAATGTAAAAAAGAAAGATGAAACAAGACGCAAAAGTGAAAGGAACAAAGCTAAACACAGAACAACTACAAAAAAGTCCCAAATCCCCTGAAGGGATTTATTCCTGTTCTGTTCTCACTGGACTGGTGGATTGCACATTAGTGTGCACAGATACAATTACCATGTTTGCTGTGTTGTATTTGAAGTTGTTGTGTTACCTGTCCATTGTCTATATTTTGGATCGTGCATTTTTTGCTATGCTGTACTGACAACAAACGTCACCAGCTCGGCTGTGGGGTTGTTAAAAGTTTCATCTGTCCATTCTTTCATTAACAGATATTAGAGTAAAACAAAAGAGGCACAAGGAATAACTTCCCGGTCGCTCCTGTTTACTGCTGTGTGGAGCTAGCTGGTGCTGAATTAGCAGCAGCGTTAGCTCACGCAGAGTTGCAGAGCCTGAGTGAGCTAACGCTGCAGGCTCACAGATTGTAGACAAAGACCAAGTCCCTCTTTAGCTTTAGAAACACTAGCTGCTTTTCTTGGACCAGAGCGTTTGCAAAACGGGATTTGCCGCGGCTCCCTGTGGAGGATAAAGGTCGTTTATAAGATCAGACCGTGGTGGTAATGTGGCGCAATCGTAGCAATTTTATAAAAGATGTGATGTGGGGCTATGGGGGCGGTCTCTGCACTGCCGCAGACTTCCGTTTGTCTTGGACATAACTTGATTTTTATTGCGATTGAAGCCGTGATCGTGAAGTTTTTTTTAACAAGCAGCTCCTAAAGGTGTCTGTCCCCATCGGTCCCTGTGCGGTCTCTGGTGATCTGAGCTTCAGCTCTAACAGAGAGGCTCGTGGAGCGCTGCGGCGCTCCAGTTTGCCATCTCAGCTGATTTTGTTCAAAAAGCAAACCTTACTGTCTGTGTTTACTTTCATTTTCAATAAATTTGAAGAAGAAGAAGAAGAAGAAAATATCATTTCTATAGCGCCTCTCAAGATAAAAATCACGAGACGCTTCACAAAATCAAAAAATGTAAATATATAAAAAAGCATTTAGAAAATGTTTAAAAATATATTTAAAATGAGCAAAATAGACAATTGTGATTCAAAAAATGTTAAGAAAGAGAGAGAGTGAACAGGAAAGAGGGAAACCAGTGGATCCTGAGGAAGGTGGAATAGGTGGGGAGAGCAGAATAAAGAGAGAGAGGTGAAGAAGGTCATACAAAAGCCAGCTTGAACAAGTGAGTCTTCAGCTGCTTTTTAAAGGAGACCACTGAGTCCACTGATCTCAGGCTCAGGGGGAGAGAGGTCCAGAGTCTGGGGGCCACAGCAGCAGATGCCAGCCGGAGCTCAGCAAAAACTCCCCACGTCATCATGACATCTGCCTCTGTTGCGCCAGGGCGCATACGACAGACCATTACCGCAATATTACTACCAAGCGAGGCGGAACGAATGCCGCAATATTCACGCAACGCCATGCCGGCGTGGCGCGTTTAATGACATACCATTGCGGTAATATTACGCCGATTTGCCGGCATGGTGTGTCTTGTAAAAAGGGCTACTGAAAACCCCTCAGCCAGCTGCGAAGGAAATCTGTTTCAACATAACCTTCCTTCCAACATGATTCGGACCTTAAACTTAATGATTATTTCACTCTAAAACTCTTACATATTGTACTTTTAAGACCAGATCACACCCAAATACAGAAAGCTTCCTGTGACGCGGGCCCTGGCTTTGCAGGGCATGCACACAGAATTAATTCCTGCACTTTTGATAAGCACCACGATGATCCCTGGTTACGGTCAGTGGTAGAAAACAGGCTGAGTGACCACATGCTGATTCGCTCAGGCTGGAGATGGGAGATTAGCTACATGTAAGCTGCTTGCAGTGATTCATCATTCGACTCAAAAGCAATCATGGGCACACGACTACATAAACAGAGAAATAAAGTCCCCGTGTTGTCAAAGATCAGGGGCATTCAATTTCGGGCCTGGAGGGCTGGTACACAGCATGTTTTAGAGGTTTCTCTGTTCCAACACACTTGACTCTGAGGTGGAATCAGTAAAGCAGCTCCTCAGGCTCTGCAGAAGCCTGTTAATCACCTGCTGATTGAACTCAGGTGTGTTGAAGCTCCAGGACCAGGACAGATTACCCCGTCACAGAGGCTCAAAATTTCTCACTGACCACCTAAAACTCCCTCAACCCAAATCCTCATCATGCATTAATACTTCACCCATCACTGAGTCTCGCCAACAACTAGAGCTATAATCCAAGAGAACAAGCTTCCTTTGGCCTCATTTTGAAAGTCCATCCTCCACAAATGGCTTCAAGCCCAACACAATAAACGGCCCAGTCAATGCCGTCCTTCTACTAATGATGAGTAAGGTAGCGTGATCCAGCAGGGGGTCAGAGGAGCACGTGTGCCAGGCCGCCGGGCTGAGAGCTTGTGAAGTCATATCCATCCCACTGACCAGAACACACAGCGACAGCAGAGAAATCCCTCTGCTCTTTACACCTCACCGCCTCAGCAAGCTGGACTCATCTGAATGACCTACATATTCAGTGTGTCAGCCTGCACATGTGTTTGTTTGCTGTTGGAGGCAGGATAACTGGGTGAGTTAACTTAGGGCCATGTTGGGTGGTGTGTGTGTGTGTGTGTGTGTGTGTGTACATTACTCTGTCCTGTATACACATGTAAAAACAATATATGGCTGTCTGGATGAAAAAACTAAGACATCAAAGGCATGGGACATGTCTCACAGCAGACAATCTGAGTGGTTTTGCTGTGTAAAAGTGTCCAATTACATCCTTAAGTCACTGCATGTAAAAATATAGCTATCCTAATTAGCGGATAAAGAAATATTTATAGCTATACTGTGGAGAGATACAATAAGTGGTTCTTTACTCATAACATGGCTCAGACCAAACGACTGGACACAGAACAACAGAAACATAAAAGCTGGATAAAGGAAGTGATGAAAATAAGGAGACATGGACCCAGAAGGACAAACTGGACACTTAATGGGACATGGTGATCACAAAGCAAGGCACGGGCAGTAGAGGGTGTCAGCGTCCCGCCGAGACAAACATTTCACAAAAATACATTTCAGTTATCCATCCTTCTATTGTCTGAACCCGCTTTGTCCACGTAGGGTCGCAGGGGGCTGGTGTCTATCTCCAGCGGTCAATGGGCTAGGTACACCCTGGACAGAGAGCCAGTCCATCGTAGGGCAACACAGAGACACACACAACAAACAATCACACACTCACACACACACACACACACCTAAGGACAATTTAGACAGACCATTAACCTAACAGTCATGTTTTTGGACTGTGGGAGGAAGCCGGAGTACCCGCAGAGAACCCACGCATGCACATGGAGAACATGCTAACTCCATGCAGAAAGATCCCAGGCCGGGAAGCGAACCCAGGACCTTCTTGCTGCAAGGCAACAGCTCTAACCAGTACGCTGCCTATTTCAGTTATTTGAAATGTTATTTTAAAATGTATTTTCCAATGTAATTTTCTTTAGTTTAATTCAACTACGGAGCGATACATTTGTTTTAAACAGTGAGCAGCAGAAACATCAAAACCTTTCAATTCTAATCATTTCTTCACTCATTTGTATAAGTCTTCATTGATGGTACCATTTATGTCTTAAATTAATAAGAAGAATTTATGGTTTGAGTGAACATTAATATGATTTATTAACTCAGGTCTTCCCTGGGGGGGCAGAAATCTTCTACGAGTGGCCATGGCCACCCCTGGCCACCTCTTGGGGACGCCACTGGCCATCCCTGGATGTTATGTAACTCATCATCAGTTCCAGTGTTGGTGGTCCAGGACTGAGACCAATATGGTGATCAGCTGGTGCATGTAGCCCACCTATCCTCTGATTACCACTCACGATGAATTGCTGGAAATAAAAGTAGCTCCAGATCTCTCAAACAGAGTTGGTTCAGACCTTACAAAACGCATTTGTATGTTTGATTATTAACACATTATCATTCTCATAAAAATTCACTAAATAAAAAAATTAAACTGATGAAATGTGTGTATTTGTGTGTGACTTCAGGCAGCATGTACCTCCAACATAGCAAAAAAAAAAAACAACTGAATGAGTCCCAGGCTGAAGAGAGAGCAGGCCACCCACGCCCACCCTGGTACTGCACAGAGCTGTATGTTCTAACACATGGCATCCCGCTGGGCTTGGATGAGGAACTTGGCATAATTAAAGGTGTGGAGGTTTAACGAGAGGGGATGGTGGGCAGGTACAATGTTGTTTTCCTTCATGTTTTTCTCAACATTTTTATTTGGAAACGGATGTTATAAATCATATGGCTGAAGACCACATCCAGCACTACCTGCTTCCACCTGATCCTCCCTCAAAGTGACAGCTCTGCGGCCTCATTTATCAGGCTTGCTTACGCACAAAACGGGGTCGGAAAACTGCGTAAGCAACTTTCCACGCAAACTTTGGGATTTATGAAAGAAAACTTAGCGGAAAAATGTGCGCAACTTTAAGTTGACTAAGGACCTGGCTTACACACATGTTGGACATGGAGAGCACCTGCAGTGCTGCTGCTGAGAAGATACAATTATGAAATCCTGCAGCATTATCACTTGTACCGCTTCGTTTTCACACCGAACAAGACCCCCCACATGCACACGCACACACACACACATACATAGCCTGAAGCGCAGAATACAGAATGCAGAATATCAGCAGGGGGACAGATTGAGACAGAACATCATGTGTCAGTGACAGTGTGTGTCCTGTCACTGTGACCCGATTAATCATGCGCCCTGGCTACTTGGACAGGGGAGATCTCCGTGTGGCTGACTGGTTAGCTCGTGTGACTTTCACCCGGGAGTCTGGGGATTGAATCCTGATTGGACCATTTTTTATATCCGCCACAGATCTCTCTGAAGAACTCACAACATTGACGGCTTCAGCAACGCTGTGCCGCTCCGTGGATTTTCT